CCGTCTCTGGCTAACCAGTCATCTTCCGGGGCCACCCTTACAGCCTCTTAATGCCCCTTGTTTGAATTACCACCAAATTCAGAAGACAAAATTTATTTTTCTCAGAAGTCCCTTATTCTTTTTGAGTCCAAAACGGAACTCTTGTCTTCTTCCAAATGGCTTTTTATACCCTTGCCTAATCAAATGTCATCACTCTCTTGCTTAGTCATAGAAATTCAGAATTGGAAAATTATATCAGATATTCTCCTCATTCTTAGCTATTATATCTAACAACCAAAACTGCCTTGAAAAGTTCTGTGTACCTCTTAAATCTGTTTCTTGTCATCCTAGCTGTAGCCCTAACTCCAGTCCTTACTGTTTCTTGTCTGGAGTATTAAGATGTTGTCATAAAGTTAGTCTTCCTTGCATTACTTTTACCTGGCCCATTGCCAATTCATTCCCCGTCTGTGGTCAGTTACTCAAGCTTCTCTAGGCAAAATCATCATCCTCAGACTCCTCTGTGCTGCCATAATATTGTCTTATACATTGTTAGAGCATTTATGTCATTTATTGTACTTACTTATTTATATATGTCTTTTCTATTCCTAGATTGTATGCTTTCCCTCTAGTCCAGTGGTTGGACAATAGATAGGTAGTAAGTGCTTAGAGAAAGAGTGAATGGTTTAATATTTAAATTTTATTTGGGGAGGGCAGTTCAGCTAAAATATCCATTAATTTCAAACTTACAGATCATAAATTATCCATTTCCTTTGGTGCACATGCAATAGTTTTAAGTTAGGACTCCCACCTCCCCAGTAACTATTAGCCTTTTTGATTTTTCTGATAGGAGCTGTTGTGTCATTTTATTATATGGCCATAATGTCTATTTTTAAGATTTTGTCATACTTTAGCTTCTCTAAATATTTGAATTTACTTTTTTTCAAGTAAATGATGTTTACTATTGCCAAAGAAACAAACAAAAAATTTAAAATAGAGGCACTTTTAACATTTTCCAGAGTTTGAGTAAGAGGTTATCTGCAGACTTTGCTTTTACTTAGAGCATTTGAAAATTAATATTTTACTTCTCAAAAACTGAATAGGCCTTGAAACAGACATGCAGAAGAAACTAGTGCTTAGTTAAGCAAAGTTACTTGGATTTTCCTTGGTCTGTTTTCATTTTCTGATCAGTGTTTTAAAATTACTGTATAAAACGGAATATTTAGTGAGAAGGAATATTAAAAAGGCAGGTATTTTAGATAAGGTAGAGATAGCTTCCTGGTAAGGGCCATTGTTTATATTCCCTCTCCACCCTGATAGCACAGACAGGAATAGGGTCCTGGCATGCTAGCTGGACTGCTGCTTCACTGAGTCCTGGGATCAGAGCCCACACCAGCTCCAAACATCCCACCAAGGATGCCCCACTGCCTGTACCCACCTGTGCTGTCTTTGGCTCCAGTAGTTCTGCCAAGTCAGCACCAGCATGGCTCACATTGTGGCACTTTTGGCCTGTGCCCACTTCAGCTGCAACAGTCTCATCAAAGCACCCCGTGCTGCACAGTGCCTGGGACCCTTGGCCCACACCCATGTCAGCTGCAGCAGTTCTGCAGGGTGCCTCCTGCATATAACTTCTGTGGACCCTCAGTCTGCACTCTTGGGCTCTAGACTGACAAAGCCATCAAGCACATGTAATCTATACAGGGGGTGTTTCTATGCAGGGCTACTTCTTCAAGAGTAGGAGAGGTAACTGTTTTGCTTAAATTCATAGAAAAAAATTCAAGGAAAATGAGGAGACAGAGGGATATGCTCCAAATAAAAGAACAAGACAAAACCTCAGAACAAGAAGTAAACGGAGTTAAGCAGTCTACCTGATAAAGAGTTCAAAGTTATGGTTATAAACATCCTTACCAGATTTGAGATGAATGGATGATCTCAGAACTTCAACGAAGAGGTAGAAAATATAGAAAAGAACCAATCAGAGTTGAAGAGTACACTAACTGAAATAACAAGTATACTAGAGGAAATCAATAGCAGATTAGAGGATGAGCAGCTGGAATGAATGAATCAGCAAACTGGAAGACAGGGTAGTGGAAAGCACTCAAGGTGAATAGCCCAAAATTGGGAGAAAAAAAAGTGAAGATAGGTTAAGAAACCTAAAGGACAACATGCAGCATACTAATATTTGCCTTATATAGGGGTCTCAGAAGGAGAAGAGAGAGAGAAAGGGGCAGAAAATTTATTTGAAGAAAGAATGGTAGAACATTCCCTAATTTGGGGAAAGAAACAGCTATTCATGCCAGGAGTCACAGAGAGCCACAAAAAAGATAACCCAAGGAGGTCCACACCAAGACAAATAATGATTAAAATGTCAGAGAGAAAGATAATGAGAGAATCTTAAAAATGGCAAGAGTAAAGCAACTAGTTACAAAGGAAATCCCACAAGGACACCAGCTGATGTTTCAGCAGCAAACTTTATAGGCAAGAAGGGAGTGGCATGATACATTCAAATTACTGAAAGGAAAAAATCCTGAAATGAAGAACACTCTACCCATTAAGGTTATTATTGAGAATTAAAGAAGAGATAAAGAGTTTATGAGACAAACAGAAGTTAAAAAAAAGTTCATCTCCACTATAGGAAATATTAAAGGGACTTCTTTAAGTGGAAAAGAAAAGGCCATA